GCGGTGCGAGAGTTGCTGTTCGAGCGCGCGGAGGAGGCCCAAGCTGCGCGTCAAGGAGGCGTTGTTTGTGCGTGCTGTGCTTTCGTTTGTTGCCCCAAGGACCAGTGGTAGCAGCATCCAGGTCCCTAAGGACAACCAGGGGGCCATAGCGTTGGTGCAGAACCCCCTCAGCTCAGGTCGCACGAAACATATCGACGTGAGATTTCATTTCATCCGCGGATTGTTTAGGTCGGGGGATATTTCGGTCAAGTTCGCTCCGGCAACGAAGCAACACGCGGACCTCCTTACCAAGGCCCTTAGCAGGGCTAGTCTGCAGTACCACCGGCGCAAGTTGATGAATTTGCCGGAGTAGCGGTAGCAGTTTCTGGCACTTGGGAGAGGTCATGTTTTCCATGCGGGGAAAGGCGCATAACTGTTGCGGTCTGTGTACCAATGGCAGGAGTAGGGGACGTTGGGAGACCATCGTCCGGGGGAACGTAGTTCCTCGCGTTCTTGTCTTCGCCTTGGCCTTTCAAATTTATGCAGCCGTTGTGGTCCGCTGTGATAGCGACCGTTTTTGAGGTGTTAGTTTTTTTTTCGAGGGGTTTTGCCCGGACGCCGGGTTCCCCTCCATGTATTACCATGTTGGTATTTTCTGATGTATCCAGGGGCGTTCATGCCCCATTGATGGTTAGTCACTTGCGTGAAGAACCAGGGAGGGTTTTCGTGGGTCTGCGAACATTGGAGTTGGATACATGTGCTGGATGATTTGGTGTCGCGCAGACTGGTAAGATTGCCGTTTGGTAGGGGGCACCGCGACGATTCACGGGCCCCCTCCTTGCTGTGGGAGCCGTTCTTCGAGCAGTCCCTCTTCCGTCCGCGTGAAGGACGGTCGTCTACCTCTCGTGAAGTTTAAACATCACCGAAACAGTCTCACCCGATAAATATGTGGCGTAGGCCGCAAACAAAACACCGCAACAAGGCATCATGTCCTCCTACCCATACCACCTGTGCTTTGTGCGGATCNGTGGCTTTCCTGCAGCGGCCTTGACCTCGATGCCCAAGACATGAGCAAGGGGGACACGGCGCAGGACGAATGCGAGATCGATCCCAAGGAAAACTTCGTTCAACACCACGCCGAGTCCGGCACCTTCAACGAGTCAGCGGGCCCCGCGGATGAAGAAGGTGTTGTCGATGACATCTCCCTCGATCCCGTTAACCGACGTTGTGGGTATCCCACCCAAACCTTGCGTTACATGCCGGGCCGGCCGTGACCCTTGCTGCTGTATTTTGTAGTTGCCTGAGTTGACACGGTCAGTCAGTCTGTGCCTGCCTAGGGTTGGACACATCGGCCATCGTGTGCGTTGGCAGGGTCCAAGTTGGGTGCTGCACGGAGCCCCAGCTGACAGCATGCGATAAATCACCCTCTAAGTTCTACGATCGAAAGGCCAATCCACCCTAGAATCGTCAACCATGATGCACTCCCCACCCCACCGTACACGTCTGTCTGTCTTCGGACGACAGCGATGACGACTACTCCGGCAAGGACAGCGTGGCGGTCAAGCTCCAGTACCTGTACGGAAAGTTCAAAGAGGGTCTGAACGCGTTCATGTCCGCGCTCGCCGAAGGTTTCCTCGATGTTCTTGAGGTACGGTATGCAGGGGACGAGGGCGCGAGTGAGGGAAACCTCTGGTGCCCCCGCTCCTTGCGCTAGACCTGCAGCCAGTCGAGATCATTCTTGTGATTGTCTGTGTACGCGCGCTTCCCTGCGCGATTGATTGCGAAGGGGCATGCCGAAGGAGGAGGCCGGGCCCATATCGAGCGCCGCCCTTTGTTTGGTAAACGTATGTGGCGCTCTTTTTTTCAGGATAAATACCCTTGTGTTGCGACCACCACCTACAAAGCAACAGCGAATCGTCCGGCGTGTGTTCCGGATGTCGCACAGGCCAGCAGAAAGGCAGTGATGGACCCCTGAAGAACGCAGCGAACGCGGTTCGTGCCTGCCTCGCTGATGGAGGCACGCAATACATCCCGGCCATCAGCGAGATCTGCAAGCTCATCACGGGGCGCAAACTCAAGCTTGCGAAAGCATTGTTCTTCATGCTTGCCATCCCCGTAACATTCGCCTCAGAGGCACTTCTAGGGAAATAGCCATCGGAGCTGGGCTTGACGGACCAACTGATCGACACCAACAGTAGCACTGTGGCGATCGATGAAGAGGAAGTCCAATCTTCCGGCGCAGGTTAGTCTAGAGGGTCACGAGCTGGCGTCGTTCCGCCAGCTGCCGCATGAAATTTGTATGACACTCTGTCCTCGTCGAGGAAGGGCTACAGTACAATTTCCCTACAAGCTCGAACACAACGCACAAAGATACTGTAGTCAGTCCCTGATTCGTCCGTACTGAGAGTTTTTTCTACCGCCCTGCTACCGTCTTGCGTGCAAGATCTGTTGTCATTACCGTACTGTCACAGAACTTCCGGCACAAAACAGGCAACTCGCGCAACCTCAATCCTTTCTCTGACAGGTGCTCCAGCGCATCTGACGAGGAGCCTTCCTGGCGATAACAGCAACAGGACGTAGAAGTGCTTGCTTGGGAGCTCGGAGAGTTTGTTTCGTTGCGGCCCTGTCCGTGGAGACCTGACTTCGACAACAAGGATTTGATGCAAAATGTGATGCCGAATCACGTGATGAATCTCGCCAAATGTGGGGATGTATGATGCCACCCACCACCACCGCCTCCCGGCGAAGGAATTGCGGCGATAAATAGTTCTCCACGCCTCTGATGGCACAAGTAAACTACACGGGACTTGCGCCCGAGAAGCAGTCTTTCTTTCCCGACACTATTAGTAAGTCTGGCTCAACTATTATTGGTTGCTGTCTTGTCCGTCGCGTCGCGTGCAGCGAGTTCGTCTACACATCGAGGTCGGGGGAAGAGGAACCAGACAAGAGCGGCAAGACGAAAAAGAAAGTATGGTGGGCCCTGCTGAAGGTTGCCTCCATCGTCATGTCTTGCATCGTAATACCTTTCCAAGGTGATGGGGAGTTCGCCCAACTCATTGGTTTCGATCCTGTCAAGCGGCAACGTTGCTCGTCGTCAAGTATCTTGCGGCTAATAGCGACGGCGTAAAAGACAACATGGCCAGAACGTACTTCGTGTAGTTTCTTCTCAAGAGTGCTCTATGGGCAACTCCCCGCTGTCTCGCGGAGATGTAAACATCGAAAGTACAGCCCGTTCTTCTTCTGGGTGAGAGTGGAAATGCCGCTGAGTAACAGTATGCATGTTTGTGCTAATCATCTCACTGCGGTGTTGGGGTGCGTTCACTGCCTGCCGTTTCGAATTGCAGCGATGGGGGACGTCAGCAAGGTTCCAGGAAGGAACCGCCACCCCAAGGGCCACAGGGTATTAAAGATGATTTCTTTGCCCAAAGTAATCCAGGAGCTCCTGGACCGCGTGGCGAGCATGGTCTACATTGGCGACTACTTATAACGAGAAAAAAAAACGGGAGAACAAGAAAAAAAACGTCCTGAAGAAGTAAGGAAACGAAACGTTTTTCGTTTCCAGTTGTGTGTGCCTTCCCGTGCCCTCCCCTGCTGGCTCGCAGCGGGGCCTAGCGTTTCGTTCAAACGGGATTGGTCAATGGCCCACGCTTGCTGAACTCCCTCTGTTGCTCAATTGGCTTCAGATCGTTGATGTTATGGTTGCGGGTTGCTGGTACGCCGAAGTCAGTTGTGTGCTGCATAGACTATGCCGATACAAGGAGGTACAGTGGTAACGAGAAACCCTTCCTTGTTGCTCTTGGCCCTTGCTTCTTTCAGGGGCGACAATGGGCTCTTCTGGTTTACCTTAACACTCGAGTTGGGCGGCACCGCCCTCGACGCCGCCTTGGGGTTCTCCGAACAAGGGCATCCAGACGCTGTGCAGGGAGGGCTCACGTAAGCAAGCAAGCGTGACGTGATGAGTCTCTTTTCTGTGGTCTCGGATCATTGTCGAACAACTGACTGAATCGTGTTTCTAGACGGTATAGGGCAGAGTGACTCCTCCCTGTCGCAGGCTCGTGAAGATGTCAGCATAAAGTGCATGTGCAGGCTCATCCAATGCCAATGGACACGAAGGATATCAACGACCGTCCAACTTGATGGAGAACACCCCATCGGAGAAACGACTACATGTTCCTCGTACTCGCCTTGACCGCACCCTGCCGTACTGGCTTCATCACGTTAACGAGCGGCCAGCAGGATTATGCGAGCGTCACAGAATACCTTCCTTCCCTGTCTCGCTTGTCCTCGACCAACGGTGCCGTGTGCCCTGGATCCCCTCCACCTTTTCAACTTTCAGGCCGGCAATTGTTTACGATGCATGCGAAGGTCTCGCTGACATCGCGAAGGGGGTAAGGTTGATGTGGCTTGCAATCGAGTTTGGCGAGGGCGGCTTCCAGCACGGAACGATGGTGTTTCAAGGTGATGTGCATCCCTCTGTGATGCAGGGTTTGGCCACGTTTGACGGAGGTACTGCCCTGATGAAGCCGGTTACTGGAGTCGACGGGGCTGGTGCATGATTGAAAAGAAAGCAATCCTTTCTTCAGATCAGGGGATCCAATCCTTCTTGTTGAATGATTCCACCATTCGTCCTCTTGAGCTGCCTGCCATGGGTCTTGGTTCTGAGCTACAACCTTAGCCCTGACAACAACAATGCCCTGCTCCACAGGTGTTCACGGGGTTTTCAAGGGAGCCTCTCAGCTGGCCAAGGCGTATTCACAGTATATGAAGGTCCCGCCTAACAAGCCCGAATACAAGATCAATGTCATACTTTTTGCAGCCCGTCTGAAGTACAGGACGAACGTCTGGCCCCTCGGTATAGCATCGGTGGTGGTGCAGCTAATAGGTGCTGACAAGGCTGACACGGAAGACCAAAAAGAAGACAAACGACGCTTACTGGACTGCTTGCCATGCCTACCTCTGACGTGCCGCGTTTAAATCGGGCGGGGAAGTGCGCTAGGGTGCTGAGGGGGGCAAGGAAGCAAGGCAGGAAGCTGAAAAGGCGTACCTGACGAGTTGCTGTTGTTGCTTGGCGTGGCTTGCCTATGGCCATCCAATGGCATGTCTCCTTCAGGACGGGCTGATTGGGAAGTAGGGAACCTGTGTTCCTCGAGGTAGTGGAGGTAGAGAAGTATTTTGTAGGTCTTCGATGCCTCCTTGTTCTTGCTTTCACCAAGGAGTTGTATTCCATCTGCTTGTTTTCCAGGGAACTGTCCGGACAGGTATCGCTCCAGGCGTGTTGCTTGAAGCCCGGTTTCCCGCGTCTGAGCGATTGGGTATGTGTTGTCTTCTTCTCATTCTGTACCATCAGGTCGAGGATGCGACGGTGCTCTCATTGGAATCAGTCCCTATTGATTTGTTGCACTGTTTTGTTTTCTGCAGTTGCCCGGCGCAGAGAGAGAAAACCTATTGCTTGCGCTCATGGTACAGTATTGTCTCCGGGTCATGGAGACGAACTGCGCAATGATGTTTTGCCATTGGTACGTCAGGGTTTGTTGATTTATGTTCTTCTTGTTGGCGGTGTTGCTACACAACCGTCATCAGCGCTGCGCGCTGGTCAGTCGACATGCCACGAGTTCGTGACAGTAAGACGACAAAGGCGTGCATCATGAGTACGCTAGAGCGGACACGACCCTCTACCGGTGTGTATAGAGGTTGTGGCCGAGGAGAGTCGGCAAGGGGGTGATATTGGTTTCAAGCACAGCCTATTGCAGTGTTGTACTTGTTGTTCTTGATGCGCATGCTGCTGACGTCTCAGACATTTCCATTTCACCAGCCGACCTTCGTTGATAGGTTGAAGCACGTTCTCTTGATGCCCGTGCTGCGGTTGTTTTAGATTTTTCCGGCTCACCAATGATTGGTGTCAGTCTTCGAAGAAATTTGGAACATGTTCTTGCTTCTTCATGGCCATGCGGTTGTTTCATGTTATTCCACTACACCCGCTTTTGGGGCATTTCAGCATGATTAATCAATTGGTATGTCGACAATGTTGTGGGTGAGACACACAACTCTCGCCCCACATTACGCGGATGTTTTTTTGTTGTTGTTTGTTTTTCTCTCATCATTGGACTCTGTCGTCTGCCCCTCTGGTCCCTATCCTCCACTTCTACCTGCTAGACGACCCAACCGGGGTCACATAGGAGGGGAGGGTTGGACCCCCTCCTGCGGCTCGTGCCTGAGGTATTTTTATCGCGAGAAGGGTAAATACAGCAATCCCTTCCCTCGCGACTTATGAAGTCGATCAAGTTTACTAACAACGGATGTTGGATACCCGATTCAAGCATCAGAGCCCCAGTCCAATAGATATCGATACAAGGCCAGCTCGTGCCGTAGACGTCGCGCTGTAAAGAGTGAACGCCCAGTTTCTGCAACACAAATCCATGAGAAAAATACACGGTAGTGAAGATCTAACCCGACCAAAAGTGCAGTCAGGCAACTTGATTCTTCGGATGTTCGGTGGTATTCGCTACTGCCTGTTGGCCAAAATGAAATCAACGTTGACCTGGGTGTCTTCACCGATTCGTCGATGAAACTTTGAACACGGAATCCTGCTGATGCTTCTCAGTACCAGTACGACATAGACTATAGTTTCCCCGCTGCGCAACGGGCTTAGCCGGAACAGAGTTGGTTTTGGAAGGCGCAACCTGCGCCCGTCGCAACCGCGTGTATTGTTCTGAACGAACGGCAAAAACTCACATTTCTACAATTATTATTGTCTTTGTATGTGCTCGTTGCTGGTGCTCAAAACTCCCTTCCAGCGAGTTGGTATTTACAGTAGAGGGCACCGTGCGGGGTCGAGACTTGACACGCAGCCCAGGAACTGACAGCATCACGGCGGCGTCCATGCACTGTGAAAGTTAGCGTAAGTTGTGCGATGTGTTGCGCCCCCAACATCAGAAATAGCTTCCCCATGCACACCCCCCGCGAGTAGCTGTGGTACGGGGTGTGATGACAGTACGGTTCATTGACGCTCACGAAACTTTGTAACGTACAAAAATCACGACACATGTGCTGGACATCACATGGTGAAAACTCAAAGAAGCTGGTATCATTGGGAGAGATCCGATACCCCCAGCTAAGCCGGCCATGACGCCTGCCTGAGGTGCTACATATCATCGGATCATGGGTTGGAGCATGAACGGGAAACTTGGTGGCAGCTTCGTGAAAAAATTGTCAGCTCGTGAAGGCGAAGCTGCCTCCCAAGCTATCGCCACGGTCGTCATTGCTAGCAAAAGCTGGGTTGGCCTCCCTTCGTCGTTGTAAATCCCCTTCCACACGCTCCAGAAAGCTCATACCTGTGGATTTTGCCGCAGTGGGTCCGGATATCGCTGGTGAGGTTGCTATCGTATAATTGGAGCCCTTCAACGGAGTTCACCATTGTCCTCTATGCAAATACGCTAATGATCGTTTGCCTGATATTGCAGAACGGGGTCAAGATTCCGGTGGCTGTGGCCATTGCGAGGTATCGGACCAAGCAAGGTGTAAAGGTATTGGTCGCCCATTGTGAAACGTAGTGTTGTGTAGTTTTGTTGATGGCTCAAAAACACGAATAGCATGCATATTCCCGGCACTGCAATGGGACTTCGATGACTGAAGAGCCCCCAAAATTCGTCACAAACACGCGAAACTGTAACAAGATGAGCATGTTCTACATATTAAGCACATTCCGGTTGGTCACATCGGTGTCACTGTGGTCGTAGTATGAGTTGCTTCATCTGCTAGATTCTACACGAGGCCCTGTCGACTATAGGGGGACCTGCAGAGACGACACAGGAGCCCTCCCAAGCGGTCAGCATCGCATTATTGCGGTTTCATACGCGATAAGCACGCGGGCGGGATGCGGCGAAAGCTTGTATTTCATATCTTCTGCCCTTTCACGGGAAAGGGTGGCAGAGGGAATGCTGCGGAAGTGGAGAAAGCTTCGAACGCCGCATCGAAAAGCTTAGAGAAAAGGGATCGAACGGGTAGCCGCTTTGTGATGGTAGACAACATTTGCACAAATGGGACGGCCTAGATCGTGATGACAAATATCATCACGTTTCATGCCTGCTGACTAGAATGTTCGGGAGGCGAGCAAGTGGGTACGAGTTGCAGCGAGATGTAGGGATAAGTCTGCGCCAACTTTGACATGCACTCCTGAATCTAGCTGCCCTGGATGTAGCGCCGGTGACAACCGAAAAGTGTACAGTAGTTTGGAGAACGAACCTGCCCATGCGCTTTCGTCTACAACACGCTCGCTAGCGGCGCTGAGCGTAGGCCGGAACGTCCAGTCCTGGTAAAGAGCCGCTGACCGAGATTCAAGAGACGCTTGCCGTCTGGCTGCATCATGTTGCAGCCTGTGGAGCGAATGATGCGTCAAAACGACAAGCGGAAAAGCGCATGCATGTGGTGGGGCCAAGAACGTACCCGAAATAACCACAACTTTTGGCTGACCTCCGCAAAGAAACTGCTGCTCATCATCTAAGGAAAACGTTTGTGATTGATGACTTTGCCGGGAAGCACCTCCACACTATATCCCCAAACAACTGTGTGAAGGGTTTGCACTACCTGCAAAAGAAGTCGTCCTCGATGTCTTCCCAGAACAAGCGTTCCCCCTCGGCGCCGTCGTAGCTACGGTGGCTTCCAAGCGCGAAAGTCCGTATCTGTGTGTCGAGCACAGGAAGCCATACAATATGTAGTCATCCTTCGAACTTCTGGATTGTTTTCCCCTGCGCGAGCGTTGCAATGATACCACCAAGGTGCATTGCAGTAGATTACTTGTGCAAACAAATGACAATTTTCGCTCGGTACCCGTGTACCTGTCTTGGTCTTACCCTGCTTTGCGTAGCAGCCTGAAAAGCTTTCCGTTTCGACTCTTGAAATGCGTCCACACGATTCAGGAAATCCTTGGCGTTGAGACGGGAAAACGGGGAGCACGAGGCAAAACATTTCGCATATTTGGGAAGGCCGCCGACATCAATCGACCATAGGGCCTTCGAGTAGGCAACGCTATCGTGGGAGCGAAAGTCAGACGGACGAATAGACTTCAACACATGACAGAGCAAAAAACGCTACATTACTATTGCAGACTTTGAAACTTTGAAGCCAACACTGAACGTAAGTTTATCCACTTGACACTCCGGACATGGCGCCCTCTGGTATTGGTCGACTACCACTGCAGTTGCTGAAAATCCATTTCTTACGCCTTGTGATGCATCCCGTCGTCTCAATTTACATATCGCATATCTGTCCCTACTTAAATCTACAGTGTTCCCGTTACACATTACTTTTCCTCACCTTTCGGACGCTTGCCCACGTCTTCGGCTTGCGATATTCAGCTTCACAGTTCGGGCATATCTTTCGTTTCTCCTCAACCTGAATAATGAGCACCAACGAAATGCGCAAATTTGATGCAAATTGTCCCGTTCACCAGGCGATATCCTAGTGTTCCATTCGCCAGCGCCCCCATCTGGGTTCATGGCCCATGCTTAAGTTGACTCGCGGAAAATGCCCGTGCTTGATCTACGTGGGTCAATACCAAACACCAGGAACTAGGTGTTGATCATGCGTACTACTGCAGACACCCAACTCGTGATACAGCCTATGCGCTGTAGCTTCTACGGTGTGGCGTGTTTTCCCGTATCAAAGTGACACTTCGTTACGAAGCCTACCTCATCGTAGGATTGCTCGGCCCCGCAATCTGGACATACTCGTTTGTCCAGAACGGCCTTGTATGCCAGCTCGCCTCGACGGTGCTCCATCGCGGCGTTCCTGTTTTTTGTGACAAGCGTCGTTTGAAAAGGCATCAGCAAGCAATCACTATTCGTGGTCGACGGCAGGATTACGGAGGGAGAGGTTTCAACTACAATGTCTCGATCGCAAGAATGTATTGTGTACAACATGGGTCCAACGTTTTCTACATCCCGTCGTTCATTGCGAGCACACCAAACAAAAGCTGCTACCGGTATTTGTGCAAGAGAAGGCGTTTTCTCCAATAATTCGATTTCTGTCGCTGTTTCACAATCACGATTTTTCCGAGCAATCAGATGACTCACTTGGCTCGCTCTTGGGCGTCCATTCGATAAAGGAACGCGTCAATACTTGCTCCAGGTCCTGACCCATCCTTGGCCTCCTCACCACCCCCTGTTGCACCATCACCCGCACCACCCCTTCGGTGTCGAGCGACTGCTGCTGCCGAACGGGTGTATGGTCGATGGGTGCACTCCTTCGCATCCGCCAAACACGCGTGTAAGAACGCTCGTTTTTCCTTGTCCGTCATTGTTTTTGTTAGCTCCTCCACCAACGCGTCGGTGGCCGGATTTCTACACAAAAAGTGATGGAGAGGACCGACCGGGGGGGAAGGGTCATGAAACTCCCCTAGAGGTTGATACCTGGAAACCTTAGAAGCCAGTTGTCTGCGAACGACAAGATACCAGCGGGTTTTCATCTGCACCTCCCTCGCAGCGAGGGCAGCTACACTGGTGTTGCTGCTAGATACCAGTGTCATCACTCGGCCACACCTTGTTCGCGTAGCTGGTCGGTGTTCTTTTGGTTGAGCCAGCTGTTCCGTTCGCCTCTCGGAAACCGTCCTGGGCGCGTCGCCCTCTCGACCAAGTTTCCTCGACCGTCGGAGCAGGAGAACCTGCGCCTGGCTCAGGCCGCACAACCTGCTGTCGTCGAGTTGTTTATGATTGCTGCTGCATATTCGTGTTGCGGTTGTTATTTGTCGTTGTTGCCGCTGTGATAAGAGTAAGCATCCATTCTGAGAATGGGAGCGTTGGTTGTGCTGATGGCAATGATGTTGGCGGTAGTGGTGTTGAGCCATGGTCGCGGACAATTATTGTTATTCTGCGGTACTTGTTTCCTACATCCTAACGCACACAAGACAACGCAATTTTGATTTTCATTAACAGGTCACCGCCAACCCACTACAGCAACCACAACCGACCGACCTGGCGGCCGAGTCCTTAACCCTCCTCGCCAAGGTAGTCCGGTGGTTATCCGGTCTCCTGCTTTTCCTTGGCGGGGAATGCGCCCTCTTGTTGCCTGTTGACATAAGAACAGCAAACTTTAGCTGTCAGAAGAAATCCCTTCAACAAGACATTGGCGCACCTAGAGAACGGGATGCTAATGTATGGGGCAGTCTCCACCACATCGGCCCGGCCGAGTATGGTATGAAGATTGCCCGTGCTGATGGTAGAGATGTAGGGCGTGTCTACTTGGCTACACTTTACCCTCAGTAACATGCGTTATAATATCGGCGTGGGGGCTATTATTCTTCTGGGAGGCTCGGAGGGCGGTCCTATCATTTCGTGTTTTTCCTTTTTTCCTTGTTGTCCTGACCTGCGATCACTGAGGTTGTCTCACACTGCGACAGTGATACTGTGTTAACGAAGGCCCCGCCGGCAACAACAGAGCCCCAAAGAGTGGCATCAACAGCAGGAACCGTCCGACGTCGGGTTACCCCTAACGGATGAAGATAACCGGAGAAGAGGCAGCACAATAGCATGTGGGGAAAGGTTTGAATAAGGTCCCACCTGGTACAGAAGGAAGTGTGCTGACTCCCCGCCGCTTGTCGGCGTGTTTCCTCCTCAACACCTCCAGGGTAAGCGCCAGTGCTCTATCCTGATCGATTTCGGCCTCTTCACGAGCCGCGAGAACCCGCAGTGCCCGCACCCGCATCTTCTCGGCTTGCTTTTTAGTCATGCATGGGCATAGGGTGCAGCAGGACATGGGGTTTGAGGGAAGGGATCCCTACCTTGTTTTTGTCCACTAACACTATGAACCTGCTCAGATCGGGCTCTTGGCATGTGAGGTTTTGGAGCTGCTGTCCTCGCTCACCGACCTCCTCCACGCTCCCCACGCGGAAATGAATGAAAATGAAATGGAACCCCACTCTCACGACTTACAGTACACCGAAGGTCCGTCTACAATGCGCCTTACCCTGGCTCTGGCGTCTTCTTCTTCCTCGGCAGGGTCGTCGCCGTGGTCGTCTTTAGTCCTTGGAAGGGGAGGCGATGCGGCCACCCTGTGCTCCGACTGGCGCCTTCGCTGCTCTTCTTGGCGTTTTACTTCTGCCTGTTGACGAGAACGTAGAGCCAGACACCAAAAGAATGTACTTCATGGTGTTATTCCGTGGCGTGAACTGCTCTCTTTGCCTGACACGTGGATTCGAACGGGCGGATCTTAATGCATATGACCGGAGGATAGGGTGTACCATATCGTTGTCTCTACACCCGTACCATTCGTCCGGCAACCGATAGTTCTTTGTAAAAGGCAGCGACTAACGAACAGGCTCTGTGAGAAACGATTTTCATCTCACAAGTATCCGTGCGTCTTCGAGAGCTATCGCCTCTGCCGCTCTCTTCATCCTTAGAGTGGAACGGACGGACTCCTCCTGAGAGATCACTCTAGCGGCAACCGCAATCGGGCTGCCGGGGGTCGTCGGCAGCACGGGAGCCACAGCCGCCGCTGACGCCCCGCGCTTCGGTCCATATCTCCTCGGCGTGGGCGGGGGCGGTGTGAGCAAGAGAAAGGCGGGGCAAAAGAACATAAACACCATGGTTCATCCGTCAAGATCGTGGTTTGCGCCTGATTTACTGATATTGAAGGGGGGGGTGCGCAAGTATGTCGTTCCAGAGTAGAAAGGTGCCGTTCACGGCAGAAAAATATGTACACATGCATCAAATTTGCATCCATCCTTGGCATGCAGCCTGTACCAAGCTGCATCGCAAAAGGTCGGTTTGACTCCTGTAGGTTCGAGAATTTCCGGCCCCATCGAATGTTTTCGGCATATTTCCGCACAGAAGCACGTTCTTACAAGCCAAAGTATGTCTTCCCCCGATAATCCAGCGAGATTAGTGTTGGCCTTCCTAACGTTGCCAACAGCTGGACTGGTTTTGATGTGAAGAACAGTGGCGCGACGATGTCTTCAAGGTGGACTTCAAATCGTACCCGTGGGGAGAAGATACACATTGTTCACCACCGCCGGGAGAGTCTAGACCATGTCGCTCGGTTGGTTCACCGGAACGTGAATTCCATTCTCGCGCAGTTGCTCCCTCCTCCCGTTCCTGCCTCCCACTTGTCTCTGTCACCTACGTTCACCGCACCCACAAGAATAAACCCAACGAGCAGTGTAGAGCATTTCGTTGACATCCTGTGTGTGATGTTCCACATTATCACTCGGATATTGCCTAAAAAGTCGGGTATACAGAAGAGGTCGCGATCGTAGGCGTTTCTCCGAATGACCCGGTCTTCTCTGCAGGTGGTGGGCTGACTGAACTAAATGGTGGTTATGAGAACATTTCAACGAGAGCTGAGAAAACGCGCCATTTCGATGCTCGCACTGATTGATCGAGGTCTACATCGGCTAGGAGCATCGACCCCACAGGGTCATAGATTACACGCGGGTTCATGATGACGCACCGCCTTGTCCCATCGAAGATTTCGGTCCGACACTGCTGTGTCGCTTGCTTTTCTCCGAGACAACATTGGCGGAGACTGCAGCACCCCCCGGTTGTTCGATGACGACGGAAGTATGGTTTTTCTGACCTCGCTATCCTCGGAAAGCTTGTCCGAAGGGAGCCCGGGCCTAACGTCAACAGCAACGTTTGGATCATTTTGATGTTGATGCCGACTTTCCTCATGGGGCCCACCCTCGCCGGTGCGGCTGTTCCTGGAGTTCCGACTGAGATGGTAAGCGTCCGGGCTGTTACTGCTCTCTCCAACTACAAAAACAGGTTTCTCGACCTCTTGCTGGGCGACGTCGCCCTGCTCTTCCGCAACCGCTGTGCTAGACTTGCCACCTTCACTGTTCGAAGCGCCGTCGGAGAGTGCGGAGTCCGCCGCAGTCGTGAGATCCGGCGACTCGCTTTGCCGTGTGTTTGTGAAGTTATCGCATCCTGCCGTTTCGGTCACACCGCCGGTTTCGGTTGCTCTCCGACTTCTTGTTTCCAGTGACTTAATGCGCTCAGCGGTGGGAGCTGCGGTGTTTTCCGCGTTGGACAACCCCGAGTCTCGGAATCGACTGTCCTTGATCTGCTCTGCAGCCTCGGCGTGTTCTCCCGGAGGATTGTCGTTGGTGTCTTTGTTGTTGCCTTCCCATTGTGCCTCCTCGTTCGGCGGAACGTTCTCACCCCTAGGTGTTCTCGTTCCTTCTACAAGGGCGGCTGCTATTTCTTGAGCGGCGGTTGACGCAGGTGGCGACAGTGTCGAACAATGACGGGGCTGGTGCCGCTGGTGTTGATCGTCCTGCTCGCAAAACACATGTTCCTCGCCATCCTCATCGCCTCCAGGATGTCCACTTCTGGTGCATTCACGAGAATCGGGCACACCTTCGTCCCCACGAACGGAGGGGGCTGATGTGGAGGCTTCTTCAAGCCGAGGCCCGTCACCGTGTTCCTTCAGCAAATCAACATCTCCGTCGCCCGCGTCGCTGCGGGACTGCTCACCGTGCGTGAGGTTTTGCTCGTTTGGGTACGACCCGTGGGAGGCCTGACCAACACTTTCAGCTGAGGAGCGGGCTGCAAGCCTAGGCTGGCCGTCCAACGTATCCACCCTTCGGTCTGCGGCAACCCCGTTGACCACCCTGGACGCGGTTGAGGAAGACGAAAAGGCTGGGCGTCGTGGAGTAGACTGGCCCGACGAAGGCGGCTTTTGACCTCGTGACCGATCACGTGCCGTGGTACTGCCGGCTGCCCCCTTGGCGACGCTCCTGGAAGTAGAAGGTTTTCCCACAAATTCCGCCGGGTCGTCGACCGTTGCGGAAGGGACGTCGTTTCTTCTGGATTCTTCCCAGGACGGCTTTCTTGTCGCGATGCCAGGATGTGCCTGGTCTTGGACCTGGTCGCTGGCCTGATTATTCACCACAAGCAATCTTGTGTAGAGCCTTCTCTGTTTCCTTGCATGCATTATGTGCGAGCCTCATCGCGAGGCTTATCAAGAGTTTGTCCATAGCCTTCGAAGGTGCTTGGACGGATACAGTACCAACCGTGAGACTGAACGTGGAAGTCAAGATTTGACATACAGCATGGCATCTAAACTCGCCAGAATCGACCAGGAGACTCCGTGGACCGCGTAGTGCACCTGGGCAGCGTTGGGTGTGCCTCGGCGAGAGTTTTCAAAGGTAAAGACGTCGCCGTGCTACTGACGCGACCGAGATTAAACCTTTAGCTTGGCTTCAATCAGCCCACTTCTGTCAAACAATGTGGCACTTCTGAATAGGGGAGAACAGCAGTATTCGCCATGTGGAACGACGCATGCAGAATTAGACAGGGCAGACGTGCTTGAGACACCTTCCCGGATCCGCATACCTGGACTCTTGAATGCAGGTTGGCGGGTCTACTTTGGGTAGTCGTGATATGAGAAATCTCGGTCTCAGCGCGGTCTCCAGACACGCGGTGCTTTTCACTGCCAAAGCTGCTGCTTCTCTTTCTCCATTTCAACGGAGTCGATCCTGTGAAATACGCAAGTGGGGAGCAACGGTTGCGAGAAAATAGCACAAGTCGTGCCATTGAAAGGTAAGGCATCCACGGGCTCTTCTCGACTGCTTCCCTCCAGGGTAGAAGCTTTTACGAGCATTCATAGACCATGAGATCCACAAGTCATGGACACAAGTTGCAGTCCTTGATAAATGAATTACCGTGCACGAAAAAGGGGTTATGTACACGCGAGCTCGAGGAACATGAACGGTTGGGGGCACTGCAATGTCAACAATCGTCCACTTTCCTGAAAGTCCCGAGAGTACATTTGCGTTCTTCAGAGGCAAGATGCTTCTTCTACCGTAGCCGCGCTTCGGAAAGAGGCAAGTTCGGAATGATGTGGGACACAGATAGACCGATACATATGCATACATGCATCGTCGTGCAAGGCGTTGGTGTAGGCTGCCGACACATCGACTCCTTCATGGGTCAATAATGCCATGTGCCGAACACTCGATTCTAGTCATCTAGACGTCGGTACACCTCTTGAGGTGCTAATGTGACACAGAGTGGAAATGTTTGGACTGCTGTGCTATCGGGATACTGCTGCGGGTGGCCTTGACTATTCTATCACTCCCGTGCTATCAAACATCTCAGGAAATCATTAGACCGAGGCAGATCCAATGCTTGCTACGTGTCGACTCCCCCCGATGATTGTGGGTTCGATTCTCTCTCCGGAGGTTATTTTTTTCGGGATAAATTTCCAGCAACTTGTACAGTATTTGAAAGCGATCTACTGTAGGCCGTGAGTTGAACTTCGGCTTCACGGTCGACGAAGGAGAGGGATGCTGAACCCTTCTCGCGATATAAACTAACGAAAGCGCCGCTAATAAAACAAAACAAAAAAGAAAACAGCTCCTGTATGACTTTCCTCTTGTGCGACCCCAGCTGATACGTCAGCATGTACGACGAAAGGTCATATAACCGGCACCAGAATAGATGAGACGAACACACACAGCAGTAGCGTAGACTCCCCCATGGCACTCGGTTACAGGGTCCCGGATCGTGGCCTACATGGAAACTGACGTTTTTTCATTGGTCACCTGCAGCAGTTCTCCGCACAAATAGTAGATTTTGCTGTTGTAGAGCAGCAGTGTGGGTTGTTTCGCCTCATGTCGAGCCGGACTACTTTCGGTGACTTACCTGGGGTGTTCGTCAGGTCCACCCCAATGAGATCTCCTCCACCCAGCGATCCCCCTCCTTCACTCCCACTGGGGCTGTAATTGAGGCTTCCCGGCATTGTAGCTGCTTTTGGCGCCACATGAGTGTGTGTGTGTTGTTGTGCAAAAGATCACCTCTCCGTTACCCTCTACTAGCAGGATTCCACGATCTACTCTACGATCTACGGTACGATCTAATCTATCATCTACGATCTACGATCTACGATCCCACGATCTCTCAACGTCCAACATGCGGCGCAACTACAGCAGTACGAACGTATGCTTCGATCAAGACGGTTGTATGCACTCGCGTTGCACGTTGCACACCAAATGCGACACTGAGACCTGCAAAGCCTCGTCACATGAAGCTATCAACTATCTGCTGCTGCTGTGCGTCATCGCGATAACGGCATAGTCTAGAACAAACATTCCCGCGTTAGACATTCAAGACTTGAAACAAGGACAGGGGACGTCCAAAGATTTGATTGGCCCGAAAATGCAGTCTACCGCATGTAGCAAGGCCGATCCTCCTACTACCTCTCAAGGTGCATGCAGAGGACCGTAATAGTCAGAGAATTTGCACCGGCCGGAGAGATGGCACCGGTCGGAGAGATGGCACCGGGGTGCGAAACGTCTCATTCGATTTTCGCACCGGAGTCGGTGAGATCACACCGGGTGCGATCTCTCCGACCCCCAAATCTAAAATTGAGCTCTTTTTCAGCTGCCGGAATGAGGTACATTGTATGTGCGTACCTTTCACACGTAGGGACGGTGTCAGCGGGGCGCCACTCCTTTACGCACGATTGGATGGTCGCGGTTCACGCGGGATGCCAGTTGTTTTTACTTTTTAATTGGTATGGAAGTTGTCAACCATGCACTCAATAAAACACACACCGTGCAAGCCGCACCCTTACACCACCTTACACAACCCGAAACTATTTACTGCTGCGTACGTACTGGTATCCGTGGAGGAAGACCGAACGAAAGCGGGAAACAAACATTGATATCGTATGTACTGGTGTCACCTCAGATGGTAACCACATCGTTTGTTGTCACGCCATTGTAGTAAATTTATAGCCAAACTCGCATCAAACACAAGAATAAGACCATTCACTGCATGAAAAGCTACGTTGACGTTACCGGTGTGCTTGCACCCAGCAACAACGGCACCTACACGTACGTGTGGATCTCTAACGATCAAAAAAATTGTCAACTAGCGTGTGAAGAAGACCGTGTGTGAGGGTTGCCTACACTGTTATCAATACTATCGTACCTGTCGGGAAGATGGCACCGGGGTGCATGCATACAACACCTGTGTGTATTTCATTGGGGATGGCACCGGTCGGAGAACCGCACCGAGGTGCCTTGAAAATTTTAAATGAAAAGATTTCATTGCATTTCCGCACCGGGGTCGGAGGGATGGCACCGGGGTGCGATAAAAATCCCGAGGAAAAAACAACTAAAAATTCGATCGCACGCGGTGCCAACTCTCCGGCTTACACCGTAGATGCGGCTAGACCAGACTAGACTACAGCTTATTTTTTTTTTGCCTTCATCTCAAATCAGCGCTCACAGCACCAGAGTCTAGTGCCTTTCGATCGATAATTCGGGTGACTCAGTTTTGTGCGTTGGGAGTGTAGAGCAGCTCGGCCATGACGGGCCGTAGTAGGGTAGGGACGAATAGGAAAACGTGTTGTAATTATCGGGGGCGTCCTTGAGCTCGTCAATCGGTCACGGCATCAAGTTTCGGTTCACGCTCATCTCGCTCAAAGTACCTAACGAATCTCCATGACTCTCCACCATTCTATCACACTCCCAAGGAGAACATGAAGAAACTTCCCGTTCCTCCGCACTCACGACGCCCCTCTCAAATGTAATCCCCATTCAACTCGTCTTGAGTACGTACCCTAAAATACCGAGTGCTGCCGTCCAGTGCACCATCTTGGGAGACGCGCAGTACCGCGCTACTGCTCGAACTGCATTCGCGACATCCGATCTTGATTGAGTGGCCAACCACATCAGGTATCCTACCAACTCGCGAAAAGGGACATCAGCACTCGCTTCATCCTCGGCGTCGGTGAGCTTTACGCTAATAGGCAGAGGCGCACTCTTCCCCCACTCAACGCCATACTCTGCGGCCAACTCTTCGGCACATCTCTGCTGTGAAACCTTCAACAGCCCTTTCTCTACGTCTCTCTCGTAAAAGCAAGCAAAGCACCACCTCAACTCTCCAAGATTCTTCACGGGGACCATCTCGTTGAGATCCCTGCCAAACTTGTCACACCTCTCCTTCTGCCCTGCACAAAATGTCGTCCACGTGGACCACGATGATCATGAATACACGTCCCTCCTCCATCAACCGAAAAACACACGCATCCGCCAGACACTGCGAAATACCAAAAGTAACAAGCACCTCGTCAGGTGCGCATGCCAATGACGTGATGCTTGCCTAAAACCATACATACTCTTGCATTGCTTCACGATCAGTCCAGATAACCTACCACAACCCTGCGGTAAGCGCATGAAAACATCCTCATCAAGGGCAGACTGCATAAAAGCGTGCTGAATATCGAAATGGCACAAGCCAAGATTTTGCTCACATGCTAATGCTGCCAACAAGCACACACTAGACACTGATACGGTGGGTGCAAACAATTCTCCAAATTCAATCGAAGCCAACGCATGTCCCCCGCGCTACAAGTCTTGCCTTGAATTTCGTCGACCATCCGTACTCGTCTGCTTTACAGGCAAAGACCCACTCGGCATTGATGGCGTTCTCTACTGGTTGCTACACCGGACTAAAAGTTCCTGGATCCCACAAACCGCGACTGCATCATCCCACAACTCTGAATATTGAGACCGCATGGCCTCCTTCAACGTTTTTGGCACTCAGAGGTCGCTGGCGAGGCAGTGAGGAAGGTCGGGCGTCTTGTCAGGAGGACGCTCGGCGCGAAGGGCAGCGTCCACGTTCTCGCGGGTGGCGAACATAGAAGCGACATGTGCGGCCTCCCCACCCCCGGAATCCACGGCCCCCCCAGCTCCCAGCCCCCCCCCGCTCCCACGGCCTCCAAAGCTCGGATCCGGCGGCGGCGGAGGTTGTGGGTCACAGCGTCCGAGGTCGACGGCCTTGCGGGTAGCCAGCGACGAGATGAGGGAGTCCTTGTCCATCGTCGCTAACAGACCAAGGCGGTGGTGGAGAGCGGCGCCGCCACCGGATGGCGGTTGTTGTTGCTCATCCATGAACCAACCCCATCGCCGCGCGTGCGGCCGTAAACCCTTGTCTCCTCTCGTCCGAACTCGTTGACGGCTCGTTTCGAAAAAGGCGGGTGCGGAGGAGCGGGAGCGGCGGCGCTGGCGGGCTTCGGCGAAGGCGGCGGCAGTCCCGGCGGCGAACGGGGCGGCGTGACTGCGGTCGACGGCGGGGCCGATGATGGCGCGACGGAGATCGGCGACGGGGCTGAGGATCCCGTGAAGATCGGCTAGGAAGCGGGCGGCGGCGGTGCGGTGGTCGCTGGTGCTGGCGAGGTGTACGTGTACGTCCTTGCCGACGGGGGCGGTGGCGGTGCGGCAGCGGCCGGAGGTACGGCGGCGGCCGGCGAGGGCGCCGCGGTGACTGAAGAACCCCCCCCGATGCCCGGCACCGGCGCCGGCGCTCCTGCCTTGCGGTCGACCCACACGACGTTGTTCATGAGGGCGAGGCACCCGGTGTCAGCGCGAAGAAAGACGGTGGTAGAAGTCGAGTGGTTGTTGGCGCCGTGCAGGTAGAAGCACCGCGCAGACTGGACGTCCGCCTTGGTGGCCCGCTTCACGCGCATTATCCCCTCCTGGAGAAAAGGGACGATGGTGAGGGGCGGCTTCCGGCCGCCGAATGCCTCGAACAGCGACATCCAGCCCAGGTTGGCCTTCGTCGCGGAGCGGTTGAAGCAGGCGGATGCCCACAGCGCCGACGCGAGCCACAGGCGATGTCCGTTGACGCTGGCGTTGGGGATGGAGGAGAGGTCGGCGTGGCCCATGGCGAGGATGTGGCGGCGCGCGGCGTGGCCCCCCTTCATGGCGCGTCATATGGCGCTCTCGACCACCGCGTTTTGCTTGGGGGTGTCGGGGGCGGTGTACTCGCGCCGAGTGCCAGCAGCGTCGCAGAACGAGGTGAACGCGGAGCGAATAAACTCGCCGCTGTTGTCCATGCGGAAACACCCCGGAGTGCCCATGCCATTCATGATGAGGAAGCGCTGCACGTACTTCAGGGTGTCGCTCTTGGCCCGCATACCGTGCCCCCGTTGCCACCGCAACGCGCTGTCCACGAACATGATCAGGTACCAGGAGCCGTCCAACGATTTAGAGAACGGGCCCGTGAGGTCGATGTGAACTTCGCCGAACGGTACCGCCGCGCGGGTGCCACGCCGCGGCACCGGGGCCCGCCTGCCCTCCGCTTCCGCGCAGCCCACACATGGCTGCATCTCCCTCACCAATCGTACGCCCTGCTGCTTGGCTGTCTCACGCATTAAAAATTCGTTGACATGGCCGGTGGAGGAATGGAACAACTTAATGTCGATGGTGGGCGTGAACTTTCCTACCGAAAATGGGGAAGCACCGGGGGCGATAATCGCCAATGGATGCGAGAGGGAGGGGGGAGCTACGGTTTACTGCTCGCTGCATCCAGCAACAAAACCTTTCAGGCACTGCAAATCATCACTCATCACGGCAAAGGCAGGGGGGGGTTCCGCTGAATCGCAAACATCAAGCGCATCCGGAAAAAAATCAACTCGTGGGACCGAGTGTTTTCCATCCATCAGGCCAACATCAAGGAACATGCTCATATCCATGAGAGGCAAATGGTCCTGGGGGATGAGGGGGTTGATCACAACTTCACGAAAATCGCTCGGGTCAACGACGGACGGAGAGACAATCTCAGACGATGCTACGGCAGCCGTGATTACAGGCTGGAAGTCGGCAATAGTCGTTGGCACTACAATTACGTCGATGGGCTGGAATGCACAACGCGGAAGTACTACACCGGACGTAGTGGATGGGAAGCTCGAAGTCGCACTCGCAGTCGGAGGTACAACACCGGCAGCGGCACCACCGGCGGACTGGAAGCTCGGACCTGCACTCGAACTCGAAGGTACAATACTGGTAGCGACTCCACCAATGGACGGGAAGCTCGTACTCGAAGTTTGCCCGCTCCTGTGTTTGGGGGGAAAGGGGAGTTCGTCACATCAAGGCCTGTTCCAACGCTAGGCGAGGGAGCTTGGGGAGACACACGAGGGAGGGCATCGGGACCGAGGGTCACAGCACTACCGGTATACGTGGGAGGCAAGCAAGTGGCCCAAAGAGAACATCCTACATCGGAGCAAGCAAAGGAAAGCTGGCCATTGAATACATGCGCGCCATTGAATGTAATTTTCTGCCTAAGCTGCGTATGGTGCAAAGAGAACATATTGAACGCGATTCCAGGTACGACGTACACGTCCGACATCTGTGCGCATAAGTCAACCTCGCCCGATGGGCCGGACATGTGGTATGCCATGTTGATGCTACCAACACATGGCACGCGCAGATATGCACCATCTCCTACCTGGATGAACTCTTTGTTCGTGAGTCTGCGAACATTGCTGTTGGATACATGTGCTGGATGATTTTGTGTCACGCAGACTGGTAAGATAACCGTTTGATAGGGGGCACCGCGATGATTCACGGGGCCCCTCCTTGCTGTGGGAGCCGCTCTTTGAGC